GATTCTGAGCATCACTTTACTTGTGTGAGAAATTAATGCAATGGTCCGGTAGTTGCTGCAGTTTTTGATGTAGCCTGTTTTTGGAATTGGAAAGTAAATTGAGTGTTTCCACTGTGTGGGCCATTATTTTGTTTTCCATATTTGTAGGCATATTCTTGTTAAAATGTTGATGGACTGTTTCTGTGGCTTGGAATAGCTCTGTTGATATCCCATCTACTCCTGGTGATTTGTTTCTCCCAGTTGCTCTCTGTGCAGCTTTCACTTCACTTTTTAAAACTGTATGTTCTTCAAAAGATTCTTCCTGGAAGGAATCTGTCATCCTTCCATCTCATCGTACTGTAGATTACATCTTTTAAATTTAACTGACCAGCTTTGGATTCCTCCATCTTCTTCCACAGCATGTAGAAAAAAATGAGAATATACTTACCAAAAATCAAGTAATAAGCTAACAGGTAAAGTAGTTAGACTACTGTACTAGGGCTAAGATGACCCAGGTTCATATCTCTACCCATTCATAAAAGTTCACTGAGAGAGGCGTAGTCACTCAGCCTTACATACTGAATGAGCCTAGAAATATAATTGAGAGAATAAACTCATAGTCTACTCTGAGCATCTTGTAGGATTGTTTGACTACACAAATCTTGTAAGTACATAAAAATAAATGTTCAGAACTGGGAATCTATCTATTGCTACTTCAGAAACTGATCCTAGTAAAGGAAAAACTTAAGCCAAAAGGGAACAGCCACTAAGAAACCTAGAACCTTTTTGAAGATTTCTTGTTTTGTCTAGTGATACTTTGGTGGTCTCTCCATCCTGCCCTATTTCGCTGTGGGTTTTTGTGTGTATTTCAGCTTTGTTTTAATGGTGTGGGTTTCTTTGTTTAAACAGTTAAGACTGTTTTTAACCAGTTGGCTGCGTTGGTGGCCCTGATGAAGGCAGAATCATGGGGTATAAATTTTGCAAAGAAAACAAACTTCTAAGTGCCATTGCTCAGGGCATGGAGGGGTGAGGGGAGCAGCCAGGCATCCCTTGATCACACCTGGATCCTCCACAATTGAAAACTCTCTCCACAAGGAACATTTTGTATTTTGCTTTAATCATTATTTGTGCTAGGTTCTGATACCAATGAGCTCCTTTTCAGAGCAAATTTCCACTGCAAAGCAGGGTTAAAATCAAGAGAAATAAACACCCACCAGTTCTGTCAAGGATGAAAGCAATGTACAGACTAACTGCTGTTCTACAGTCTGCCTTTTTCACAGAGACTTGAGCTGGAATACATAGCATACCCTAAATCAATCCAGTCCACAAGAGGGGACAGCCAATAAGCAATGCAATAGGATTAGAATTGCAGAAATCCGTGTTAGCAAAGGTGTCATAGTCAGCTACCACACCACTAACTCTTACTAAACATATATGATGCTTTCTTACACTGTCAAGTCTTTGATCTGTACTGTCTACCCTTCAGCCACAGCGCCAACCTCCTTAAGCTGCAAAACAGCATCAGACATCTCATTAAATGGCTCAAAAAAGCAAACATACCTTCTTTGGCCAAAAAACCAGGTCTTGCCTACATATTACTATTTTTCATATGTAGATGCCACTGTAATTAATAAAAAACAAATTCATTTGAAAACATTACTGAATTCACAACAGCTCTGTCATTATTATTTCCCCCCCCCCCCAACCAAAGTATAGCTACAATCACCTGAGGGTCCAGGCAGACTGTTGGGGAAATGAGGAGAGCAGGAACCTTTTCATGGACTCCCATCCCCACTGTATTCATTGGGCAGGGAAACTGGCTTCCCAATTGCATCGAGAAAGTGTGTTGTTTCAAAACACCTTTTAACTTCAAACTCAAATGTTAAACCCTTTAAAACATAAGAATCTGGTATGCAGCATACAAAATTAATCAAATGAATCAAATACCTAATTAGAGTGCACTGTGAGTTCATAAAGGATATATCTTGGTTGCCTGCCCAAGACCCATAACACAGGGTGGTTGGCATACAACAACGAACAAGATTAAATTCAGACATTGAGTACCTTTTCCCATCTATATGAGCTAATGTAGTTTATTATTTATTTGATTTAAACCCACCCACCCCCAACCGAGGCAGGCTCAGGGTGGCTGTCAGTGAAGTCTGCTGCGGAGCACCCTATCTCTGGGGTCAGGAAAGTCAGGGAAAGCTAGGGTGACTCATCAAGGAAGCTAGTTACAGATATCCTATCTATTTAGAATTTGATAGTGTATAAACATTCCAAAAGGCAAAAGTCATGTACAGGTTTATCGGTACCAGAAGGCCACAGCACCAGCACAGTCCTGAAGCCTCCTGGGAAACACAGCCAAAGGTTCAACTACACTTTACTATAGAAATTAAAGTAACATAGGTTTAACAAAGGACTCAATCCAGGCCCTTATTCCGCAACATAAGAACATAAGAGATGCCAATGTTGGATCAGACCAAAGGCCCATCCAGTCCAACACTCTGTATCACACAGTGGCCAGAAATACCAGTGCCATCAGGAGGTCCACCAGTGGGGCCAGGACATTAGAAGCCCTCCCACTGTTGACCCCCCCCAAGCACCAAGAAGACAGAGCATCACTTGCCCCAGAGTCCCTATCTATACTGACTGTGCATGCTCCAAGGGAAGAAGTCTTGCTTTTCCTGCTCAGTTCCTTTATTTCTGCTGCAGCAGAGGTTATTTTGAAACTTCTGGATGGGTAGATATATGCATTCTGCATTTTGATTAGAATATTCTGCCATTCACTGTTGGGATTCTGGATGGTATAGTGGCTTTTTAAAAATATGAAATTACTTCTCTTCATTTTATGCCCTTCCCCCCCACTTGTGGAAGTATCCTTATGTGTGGAAATATTCAAAAATGATAATGCTATTTCAGATAGTATTTACCTCTCCAGCCAAAAGGAAAAGTCTAAACAAGCTATAAGGTCTGTTGTGCATGACGATTAACTTATTTGCTTATTTTAAAATGAAAACTGTGAAGAGTATCAGTGCTTGGAAACAAATGATACAGAAGATAGAAATCTAAACTGAATACCAATTTGATTTACGTGATTACTTGAGAAGATGCAGGGATTTATGTAATTAGTGTATAAATAGTATGTTGAATATTATGTGTAACCTTGCAAGACAAAATAGTTTTAAAAAAGAATTACAGCTTAGTCATCCAGCTCAGTATTCAATGCAAGTTTATTTGCTGTGTATATACACAATTCAAGCTATTAAAAATTATACAGTATTTACAAAAATTAAATAGTTAACCAAACTTTCTTCACCTCCACATGTAACACAGCTGAAGAAAAGCTGCAAGGATAGAGAGGTCAAACATTGTTTTGCTGTGGGCTTTCAGCTTTCCAATCAGCTCCTTTTACTCAAAAACAGAAGAGTGCTGGCATTCAACAAACCCTGTGCCAAGCACCCGCGACATTAGAAGTCTGAAGACAGGAAATAGAACTCCCCAGAACAGTTCCATGCGCCCTGCTGGTAAAAGTTCAAATCAGGATTTTTTAATTTTTTTAAAAGACCATTTGCGGGTTTGACCTATAACCAAAATTTTTAACCTGGCATCTCCTATGTGCAAAACAGAGCTTTTTCTACAACACAGAAATTTTTCCATGCCAAAGAGATTTGTCAGGAGAGAAATCCAAAAAGACAGTAGTCTGGGGGTCACATTCTTGCCTCCTTTATTGCCACAATTTCCTTTCACTAATGAGCCAGAATGTAAGTTAACTTCCCAAGGGACAGAGAGCTTTACAGAAATGCAATGAAAGAAAGTATGAAATGTTGCAGGCAGAGAGATGAGAAAGGATCAGCCAGTTCTAAAAGGGACCATTTTTAATCGTGCTCCTTTGGAGGAGTGAAGGCCACTTGGGTTTCAGAAAAAAATTGCATAAACTCAAAAAGTCTTTAGAGGGGGTGGAAGAGAAGGAAACACAGGTACACATGTGGTCATTCCAAGCAGCCTAGTAGCCTCCCTGTGAAAAAGGTCTCTTCTAATTTCAGTGAAACCCCCAGTGGTTGGCTGCTTGCAGCTGCTGTGGGGAAAACCCACTAGCAAGACACTGTAACCTGCCCCCCAGTCACACCTCCCTCCTCTGCACCCAATTTTTTTTCTCCCCCCCCCTCCCTTTTGGTCTGTCAAAACTAAGTCTACACGTGCCCTCTCATTGATCGGTGTTTGCTCTCCCCTCATTTAAAGTTTGCCCCTCAAGACTTAGCAAAGGTACGCCATAGGTCAATGACATTGCACTTCCAAGAGCAAGGTAGCCTGCTCCCTTGCTTCAAAGTAATATGAAACGGGGGCCACTTGAGCCCTGCTCTGCCTCCTTCCTCCCTCCCCTATCAGGTCCCTCTTCTCAGTCCAAAGTGCCTCCCTCCTACTGCTGCTCTCCAGCGGGAAAAGCCACTTGGTGGTTTCAAGTTACATTCCTGGCCCACGTTGGTTTTGTATGGCAGAAGAACCCATTTTTGTCTGCTCTCTAAGAGGTAGGAGTGCAGATATTGACACACACACACCCCAGGTTGGAATCTACTTTGAATATCAGAATTTGGAGACGTGGGTAAAAGAGGTGCAGGTGCAACCTCATGAGATCTGAACGGCAGGATCCAGGATTAGTGAACGCAGTGAGCAGGCAGAGAGAGTTTTTAAAAACTACTCGGCTTGGTCAAGCCTCCCACCTTCCACCCCAGCACACACTGGCATCGCGCTTCCATTCAGCAGAACTCACCCAGGGTCAGCTGCAGCTTCCTGATATGTATTCATTTAGGTGTATTTTACAAATATTGATTATTTTTTTTGGCAAAGACAGACACACACCACCTTGGTACTTGAACGACAAGTGTTTCAGCTGCCAAACTTAAAGCTCCCTGAAGAGTGTTTTAATAACCAACAGCTACATGGTTGGCCACATGCACTTGCCAAGTACAGAAAGATTTGCATGTCACTTCTCAGAGGGAAGTTGACAGTTCGGTGGATGGTTCGACTTCATGATTGTTCTGCACATCCCTTACAAGAGGATTGTGCTTGCAGAAACACCTGGGCGTAGTCAGTTATTTATCACATTCTTACAAAAGCAGCTTTGCTCCAGAGACAGACTGGCTGTGGGACTGCCAACTGCTTCCTGTCCAAAAACGACATATTCCTCTCACCCTCACTGCAGGCAGGTGGGCAAAAAAGCCACTGTATCCAGACTGAAGTCCTTCTATTCACTACCAAGGAAGTTTAAGTTATTAGAAGCCTTGACCGAAATCTTCTATTTAACGCAATACTTTGAACAATCCCTGGCGTGCTTCTTCCAAACACAAGAACAGAAGAGCTACGCTGCTTTCACCCCAAGCAGCAAAGTGACAGCCCAGGAAGTAAAGCAGGTCTACATTACTCACTATTCTGCCAAAAAGCCAATTTTAATACTGCATCTGAGAGTTAATAACCACTCTTAAAACTACTATTCTTCCTTAGAAAAAAGCCCTGGGGCTTTTTAAAGAAGAAAAGGTGACACGCCTATCTTGAAAAGCGGACCGGGTCTGATCTCAAGAATCTCAGCTATAAAGCAGGTGTACCTGAATGGAACAAAGTTCCAGTTTCCTGAAACACCACAGTGTTGAGCTAGGGATGTGGGAAGATGGTGTAGGACAGACAACACCCCCCTTCTCTGCAGAAGCAGCAGTACAGAGTATTTCCCCCTACCAAGCATGTATATAGGGACCCCCCCATAAGAGAGTCAAGCAACTCCACCCACTTGGATTATGGAAATCCAAAGTTAGAAAATACTGTTGGCTCCAGCACTCAAAGCCCCTCCCCACGCCGGACATGTCCCAATTCCTGCCATAAACACCTACAGCCGTTTAAAATTATAGAGACTTCATTGCATCTCACACAAAACCATGGTTCCAAGAGACACGCGCACACACTGATGGCGCTCTAGCAAATACTTCTGAACATGCACTGGGGCTTCTGTGGCGGTTCTTGCTCATGTGTAGGCTTCCTTGTACTGTCACAGCAGGTCTTTTCCAAGGCTTGGGAGCAGTTTGCCACCTAGTCTGGTTTGTCGTTGGCAGAAGCCCCACTATATGCACAGAAGTCCTCCCTCCACACACACACAGTCTTTTGGATCCTAAGCATTTTCTATATACACCATTAATGGGTGGAAATACAAGCACACTACACCAGACAGATAAAAGGGAACATTATGTCCAAAAACCCAAAAAGTTGGACCAACATAGGAAGTATAGCCAAATTCAGTTTCCTAGCACCTTCTGCAGGGAGATAAACGACGACCTGTACTGCCTGCAACAGCTTTTGCACGAGCTTTGCTGTGTTGGAGCAAGACTGAAAAGCTCGTGCACAGAGCAGCGGCAGATCCAAATTCTAAAAAGCTGTTTCGGAGAGGGGGAGGCGTGCTAGTCAGAAACTCAGGGCTTGATTCTAGAGAACTACACAGCAGAGTTCTCCTGGACAAGAATATACTTTAAGTGAGTTCCTAAGTCAGTTCTACTGGGCTTCTCTTGACCATGGTCTGTAGCAGATTGCTCAGTACTAGAATCAAGGAGCAGCCACCATGGAGCTCCTAGGGCTGCATCAGCAAAGTCCCCATCACCACCTGACCCATCCTTAAACCAGGAAGGTGAAGCAGCCAAGGACGTTTGGCAGGGCAAGGCAGATACCTCCAAGATCACGCATCCCTTCCCAAACCCCCTTGGGGAACACCATGCCAGAACTGCTACAGCTAACTATTGCTTGCCTTAACTCACACCACAAGAATTGTTGTTGGGGATGTGTTTCGTGGTTGTTGTTTTTTAAGCCAAATAAGGAAGCACAAGGAGAAAATGGATTCAAGTCACAAGTTTACTGCACTGAAAAGCCACCCCACAAATCTGTGAAAATAAGGAGGGCACACGCAAGTTTACAATCCAGTCAGATGCAGCCAGGAGCAGAAAGATCTCTCCCTGTCTCTGCAGTCTCAACGCTGGCCCAGAAACACAGTTCAAAGTCCGCAGGATGCAATTCCAAGCTCCTCCTAGGCAACTTTGGCTCCCACCACAGGCAGGTGGTTTTGGAGATGGGAGCGAGGCCTTGGGAAGACGGCTGTGGTTCCACGCTCAGCTATCCTGAGAAGGCCTCCTGCATTTTACCTCCACCTACAGGTGGCAAAACATACACACCTCAGTCAGCTCTTCCCCATTTATTACTGCTGCTTTCCTCCCAGGAAAAGGAGGAGTCCACACAAAACCACTACAGAACTAGAAAGCTGGCGGTCCAAACCGGGGGGAGGGGGTGGTGGTGAGAGATTATATGTAGGTGAAACAGCTCCTTTCCAGTTGGGGGAAGGTCCCTTAACTGGCAGCTCCCACCCTGTTTAGGGGATAACCCAAGGAAGTTCTTCCCCAAGCTCAATGCGCTGCTCTTGCAACTATGAGTCTGTCCAGCTGATATCCAGATACCAAACATGACTTTGGAAGCAAGAAACATTACCGCACTGGTGAGAGTAACTGGATCAGGGCCAGTCAGGATGGAGGGACGGGTGATTTACGCCCCCCCCTTAGAATTAGGACATCGAGAGGCAGAACTGCCGCTGCCACCACACAGCCACCCCTGCCGAACGGCATTCCCAGTGACCTCTCATCGTGTCGGCACTTGTTGGTGCAGCAGTTGAGCTGTCCAGTTCTCGTTTTCCCCCTCTGCTCTCATCCCATGTTTGCTGGGGGTTGGGGTTGGGGGCCGAAATCAGTCAGACTGTTAACTGAGGCACAGAGCAAGGCTCGCCGGAAAGGGGCAGGAGGGACGTCAATGAGAAGAGGAGGAGGAGGGCAGTTCCAGTTTTTGAAGGCGACGCCTGCGCAGCTCTGCTGTATCCGGCTCCTCCAGGGAAGAGGGCTCGTCATCTTGCTCAGGAGGACCGGTTGGGGCTGTGTAACCCTCAGCGCCTGCCTCTGGGGAAGGAGCTGGGGGGGGGGGGGGGGAGAAAAAACAGTAGTCAATCAAAACAAAGAAAATATTCCTTGGTATTAAGTTGCAGCACCTGACATTCAAACTGATCTGTTCTTAATGCCGGCCTTCTCTAATCCACACTTCCTTGATTCTTCAACTCAGCATACGCTTATCTACTGCCAGCCCCACCCACCTTGCCAACAGCTTCTGCCACACTGCTCCCCATTCCTCCGTCCATCAATCAAAGCAGTTCTCTCTCTTAAGACTGCCAGCCATGCCTTTCTGGAGCCTTGCCCTGGTCACCTTAGCCACAGCTCTCCCCAGTCACAGAGAGCTGCATGGCTTCCGTTAATCCACACAATATTTAGTTAGCATCCACCATCAGTGGCTTTATAGTAGCAGTGGTGGCAGCTAGAAATCAATCACAACCGAGCAGCTTCACAGGTATCAAGTATTTCAACAATATTTCTAGTCCCTGGTGAGCTTCTGTCAAAGAGTCCGAACCCGCTACTACAAAGCAAAGCCTCCCTTCCTTGACACTGTCAGTGCATCCAATATTTGAAGAAGTGAGCGGTGACTCATGAAAACTCATGCCCTGCCACAAATGTTGTTAGTCTTTAAGGTGCTGCTGGACTCTTGCTCTTTTCTACTGCTTCTCTACTACTATCAATGCATGCTGTCCCAGAACACCACCTGAGGCAGACAGGCAACCCTCAGGACAGAGGCTGAAGTGCAGCTTGGTTTTAAGAAGTGAAAAGCAACGCCCATAAATTAGAAGATTTCTAAGGTGCCAAACTGGGGATGTTTGCATGGTGCCCAGTGAAACAGCATTTTACAATGAAGGGACCCACCCCGGTTGCCCACCTGCTTGGGTTGAGGAATCTGGGACCACTGCTGCCGAAGTAGTGCTGTCAGCGGACTGGAAAGTGGTGGGTTCGCTGGTGCTGGGCTCTGCACTGGCAGTCTCCTGAGAGGATGCTGAAGTGGCTGGAGCGCTTGGTGGTGGTGCAGAGCGGGGCGTCCTGTGCAAGACAGAAACAGGTCCATTAGGATGGATAGCGGACAAACACCCGTACCATCCCAACCCCACCAACAACTCTCTCCAGCTGTGTCTGGGCACCAACTTGTTTTGCTGCTTCCATTCCCATTTTACAGATAGGGAAACAACGGACTTACTGAAAAACTGAACTAGGGAAAAAAGGACCAATGGCTGCAGCATTTAGGTCAGACCTGAACAATCGAGGCTGAAAAGGAAGAAGCAGCTGCTACCACTCAAGCCTCTTTTTGGAAACAGGCTAGATATTTTGTTTCTCTTTCTCAAAAATTATCTCTTCTTAGCAAGTTGAATCTTGTCGCTAATATTGCATGCAGCAGTTTTTCTGCAGAATGAAGACAGCCCTTCCAATAGGGAGTGGGTGCAAACAGGGAACATTCCTGTAAAAAAGGGTCAAGGAAGTAGGTGAATTGGGAGACAGTCACTTTCCTTGGGCCTACTCCAGATGATCCTCTACACACCAAATACCACACATTTGGGGGGCAAGATGCCCCCCCATTCTCCCCCCCATCAACCATAGATACTGGCCAATCCAAGCTGAGGAAAAATCCTCGCTGATATTCAAATGAGGCAATCACTCACAGTGAACAACACTCACCTACCAAGCTGTCTCACCAAGAAACTAAGTGTTACTGTAAAGTATTCTGCTTGTAGCTGCTGCAGAGTGCATTTGTTTAATATGCTTTGCCCTGACTGACGGACATGCATGTAGAGGAAAGAGCCAGTCAATTTACCCAATAGTGGCCAGGACTGTGAGATACTGGTTGATCTGCAACATGGCCGCATCGAGGAGCGTGTGAATGTTCTGCAAGCACTGGAGCCGGGCTTCCAAGTGCTGCCGTTCATGGCCTTCCATGGCTCGCAGCTCTTCTTCAGTCAGTCCTGCAAACCCGGAGGGCGGAACCGGCATAGGAGGGAAACCTGCGGGGGGTGGGTGGGGTGGGTGAGAAGAGAGAACATTGTGTGAGACCAGCATGACAAGGGGGCAGCTACGGGCTACAACGAAAGCCACTGAGGACAACATAGGAAGGAACACAGAACAATTGCCACAGAGTGGCCACTCCTAACATGCCATCACAAGGTGTTAAAAGACATCCCGCTCCTAAAGAGTGCTGCATTCAAATGGGCTGGAGGACCAAGCTGCCTAACCATCAGATATCCATCATTTTTTTCTGAAGAACCACTCATTTTTGATGAGGGGGACTGATTAACTTAAAGGCGCCCTTTCGCTATTCAACCTGTGCACTTCTCTTCGTCCTGCCAAAATACCTTCACAGCTGCTCCAACTGCTGGCTTCCTACTCCACCATCATATTAAGCCTTCCTCCTCACGTGGCACTGTTTGCCTCTGAAAACACAGTCAGGGGGTCAAAGCTGATGCCCACCTCTACACATCCTGGTCATTTAACTGGGAGTGCGGGAGGCTGTTGAGATATGCCTCCTTTGCCCCAAGAAAGACAGACACAACTTCCTAGGCCTGAAGACAGTTCTGCGATCTGGGTGGAATGTGACAAACATGCTGTGGGCCCTTACGTTTGACACCAATTCTTTAAATAGGGACCAAAATGTCCGGTATCACTACTAGTATGTCTACACTTGATAATATTTTACAGATATTCATAAATAAGTAGTATGTGCTACCGTGTGAGGGAAGCACCCTTGTGGATACCAGCTGATCTGGCAACCACCAACAGTCCTCTCTTCTGCCTGGAAACTTGGCACTTTGGGCTATGTGAAGGGTTAAGTGGCTGCAAGGAAACAAAGGCTGAAGCATCTAAGATGGGGAGAGACTGAGAAAGGACTCATCAGGCAGCACTGAGAAGGGAGGGAAGGACTTTTGCTATTAGTGGTGGTTCCCAAAACAGGGCCTGCTGGAACATCAGTGGCTATTAGCCACAAGGTATAGATAGGGACTCTGGGGCAAGTGATGCTCTGTCATCTTGGTGCTTGGGGCGGTCAGCAGTGGGATGGCTTCTAATGTCCTGGCCCCACTGGTGGACCTCCTGATGGCACTGGTATTTCTGGCCACTGTGTGATACAGAGTGTTGGACTGGATGGGCCTTTGGCCTGATCCAATATTGGCATCTCTTATGTTCTTATGTTCTAGCAGCATTCAGCCAGAAGTCCTAGACAGTCACTCTCAGTTTAGGAAATTCCCTAGTGAAAGGAGTTCCCTACAAGGCAACATTCTAGATAGCAGTTTCCAGCCTTTTTGGTACAGTGACCCACAAGTCCAACTTTTCTTGATATGTGGACCAGAGGTGTGCAAAAAAACCCCCAAAAAATGGTATTTTCCAGCTTTGGGTAAATCAGAATAGAAACATATCGATAAATGCTGAATTTCCCCAGTCCAATACCGGTAAGGTATTCGGATTGGGGAAATATTAGGTATTGCTGAATATATTCGGAGCTGATTTACACCACCACAGGGAAAGGAGGCATGTTAAAATGCTTTCTTTCCAGCTGGAAGCCCCTACAGATTTTCCTGTCAATTTCACTCCAGGCTAATCAGCTGAGAGTGAAATTGACAAGGGAAAGCCTCTCTCTGTCTTCCCTTCTTTAGCTGACATATTCTAGCTGAAGAAGGACAGATCGGGAAACCAGGCACGTTTAAAATGCCTTTCTTTCCCTCGCCGAGATCAGGGAGGGAAAGAAAGGCATTTAAACATGACCCCCGCACTTCCCTGAATCTCTGCGCAAAAGTGGAGAGGCTCAGAGAAGAAAGGGGGCATGTGTGTATGCCTGCCTTCCCTTCCCCAGCCTGTCTGCCGCAGCGGGCAGGCTGGGGAAACAAGGCAGACATGCTTGGGTTCCCCTCCTGATCTTCTCCAGGTGCCCCGTGGCTGTGGGGCACCTGGAGAAGATCAGAAGAGGAACCCAGGCATGTTTAAAATGCCTTTCTTTCCCTCCCCGAGATAGCAGACATGCCTGGGTTCCCTTCCTGATCTTCTCCAGGTGCCTCACGGCTTCGGGGCACCTGGAGAAGATCAGGAGGGGAACCCAGGCATATTTAAAATGCCTTTCTTTCCCTCCCCAATCTTGGGGAGGGAAAGAAAGGCATTTATACCCAACAGCTGACTGGAGGCTCAGGCTGTTAGGTTTGAGTCCTTCTTTTTGGTATAGCAAAAAGAACTCGAAAAATACTGGCGTTTTCGGGTTCAGCTACACAGGTAGCCAAATACAGATTATATGATACCCAAAAAATACTGACAAGGTATTTTCGGCTATCTTTTCAGTTCGGCTGAATGTGGTCCCCCCTAATGTGGACTCATCCAGGACTGGCCCAAGGTTTTTTGGTGCTCTAGGCAAACTACAACCTTGGCATCTGTCAAGTTCAGCATTCCATTTTCTACAGTGGTTAACCAGAAGTTTTTGAGAAACCAACAAACATTGCACAAAGGGCACATCCCAAGCAACTGGCATTCCAATGTACACAGCCTTTGCATATGGAGGTTACAATCCAGCCTTTGACCGTCCTAGCCTTCTCCCTTACTCCCTAATCCTTCCTAAGATTGTAAGAACTTCACTCAAGTAACCATTACGATACATTTTACTTGATTAACATGCATATGCAATGAGCAAAATATCAACTGATGTATGACATGGAAGATACTGTTTCCAGCATCAGGTCTTGCTTTCCAAAATACAAAAGAGAGCAATGGGAAAGGGAGGGGTGGCCATTAGAGAAGTCCAGCCTGTGACCCACTTTCAGAGGCTTTGCAACCCACTTTTGGTTCTTAAACCACAGGTTGGGAAGCCCTGGACTAAAGAAGGGAAGACATATGTATATCTAAGTGTATGGGAATTCTTCCCTGCCTTATCATCAATTACACTGTTTCCCTGCTGTTCTTCCCAGGAGCTCAAAACAGTGCAGTAGCCTAATAACCCATACAGAAGTCATTTATATAGTTTGAGGCCAAAGATACGACAGCCCAGGGTGAGGTGGAGAAACCAAGGAAGTTTCCCTAGAGGGCTTTAGGAGAACCTTCCGTAGCCTCAAATATTTCCAGAAATTGAAATTGTACGTCCCTGCCTGATGCATAATGACTTATCCCAGACTATCCTCTGGCCTTCATGGCTCAGCAGGGGATTTTTTCTTTCTCACAAGCTTCTTTCGCCCCAAAACCAACACCATATCAACCATGTCACACTGACTTTCCCACCCCACTTAGTGACGCCTCACTCACCAGCATCTCCAGGCAATTCAACAGCCAGCTAGAACAATATACCCCCACATATGCATTAGTGGTGGCTGTTCAGCTTCCAACACTCACCAAAGAGAGGGGGGAAGGGCATCCCCATCCAAGGTGGAGGGAAGGGGAAACCTGGCACTGTTCCTGTAGGGGCAGTGGAGTCTGATCCAGATGCTGAGCCTCCACTGGGCCGTGAAGTGCCTGCTGAGAAAGATGATAGAAACAGAAGCTCAAAGCCAGAGTAAACTTTTCCATTTAATGCTGCATTATGCACACACTCAACTCAGAGGCTGTAGGCATCTGCTGTAGCACACATTCCCCATGACAGAATGGGAGGCTCGTGGACAATTTTCACATCAGACCTCCATTCAAATCTGGGCACCAGAGTCACCTAAAGAAGAGTAGTGCCTAGAAAAAGCAATCTCCCTGTCAGTTCTATATAGGACATTACCAGACATATGGTTGAGAATAGCAGGCAGTTAGAGAGATCTGCTAGCCTCCCTTTTCCCTTCCCTCCCCCTTCCCTTTTTTCTTTCTCTGTACCGGCTGCCCCCACTCGTCCAACTGTGATGGATATTAGGCCACCATCTGATGTAGTAAAGAAGTCTTAGGTTTTAACTTAAAATAAAGTGGATTTTAAAATTGTAAAAAATGCTGAAGTATTGCATCTTGATTGTTGTAAACCCCTCGAGCCCTGCTTGGCAGGGAATGGAGTGGGATATAAGTCTAATAAAAAATAAATAAATACCAACCTGGTTTTCGCTAACATTTTAATGCTGCCGTTGCTCTAAGAAGCTCCAGGCAGCATAGAGTTTCCTCTCTACCTTTAAGCCTTAGAAGAATACTGAGGTAGGCTAGGCTGTGAGGCAGTGACTGGCTCTAGTCACGCAATGAAAGTCATACAGTGAACGAGCAGAGATTTGAACCTGGTGTTTCCCAGATTCTATTCAGACACTCTAGCTACTACAACACACTAGCTCTTCAGCTTCCCTGGTGGTGGCCTGGAAGACAGACGTAACACGGTGGGAAACAAGAGAACAGCGCTCACTCATTCCTCCAGAAATCTATGCACCTAGATCTTTTGCTGGAGTACGCTTCAGCTGAGAGAATGCAGTGGCTTCTTCAGACAAGTCTAAGAATGAAAATCCTGGGCTAGCGTGGGAGGGGACCAAGATATAGTAGGAGAAGTCTCTCTTCCTATCCAGGGGACAATCGCAAAAGGTATTCTGAGAATTCAACTGGGCACAAGAGGCTCAAAGAGCAAAATCTACCCAGCACGGCTGGCTGTTCTGATCCCCAAAGCATTGTGGGATGTCCAATACCCAGTAAAGCACATCAGGGGTGCACTACAGTTATACTCAAGCAAATTCCACACACTGTACTTCATACAGACACAATCTCAGGGGAAACAGGCAAAAAGGGAGATATGCACTGATAAACGTAAGTCTACCAGAGTCTGAGGATTCCGGGTGGACTGTACTCTGCTCCTCCCAATACACATCAAGCTGTGCCTCCCTCCCAGGCCAGGGAAGGGAACACAGCTGAGCTCTAGAGACTGCCCCCTCTCTTCCCCAGCCCTCAGAGAGAAAGAGCTGCCTGAGTGCCGTGCATCTCATGCTGACCATAAACCACCATCCCCACCTTTCCACAGCTGCACATAATTGTTCTTACTGGAATCCCTGGCTGCAAGTCACTTTGGAAGCCATTTTTAGATGGGGGGAAAAGCATCTCACCTGCGGGTTGCGTCCCTGATGTGGAAGGAGCAGCTGAAGCGTTATCTGCGTTGTTGGGTGGCTGGGCACCAGGCACTGGAGGAAATGGGCCCATGGGGGGCCACAACGGAAACATCCCAGGTGGAAAAGGAGGCAGGACGCCTTGGGGAACTGCAAGAAGGAAGGAGAGGGGAGCATGTAAGAATGATGTATAAACGGTTCTCACGAGCCTGCTACCTGGCCTATTACAACTCTTTGGAATCTGCCACAAGGGAATGTAGACTCCGGAGGACAACGGAAGACAGGAGGGCCTGGCGTGATGAGGTCCATGTGGTTGCAAAGAGTCGGACTCGACTGTGCGACTGAACAACAACAACAACAACAAGGGAATCAGTCTGGCCACCAACATTTTAGGAGAATCAGGCCAATTTAACCCTATTTATAAAATTTTGAAAAAAACTTTAATCTGCAGTCACACAGTATAGCCCAGGATAGGCAATCCCTAGTATCTGTAATGAACAGCAGCAAACCACATCATTTTGCTTGGCAGACAGGGACAGTTCTCTGTAAGCAAGGTAAGCCCCCAAAGTGCTGGCGGTGTGTGAGAAGGCGACAGTGACCTTTTATGCCTGTTCTTGCCACCTTCTGGACCCATTCATCTGCAAGCTGGACCCTCGGCAGTGCCACTGGAGCTCTGCTTCCTCCCAGTGTTTGTCCAAGTATAATCCTAATTTCTCCCAACTCTTTTCATTTGGGACATTAACATCACCACAGGTAGATGTGTTTTTCACTTGAAGCAAAAAGGATATCTGCCCTGGTACAGCCAGTTGGGGTGTTTTGTCCATGAACTACAGCTGCCAAAAGCCACCTTATGATAACGAGATGGAAATATAATGAGGAAAGATATTTTTGATTTATGCAGCATTACAGACTCACAATTAGGTGGCTGAGGAATCAGCGGAGTCTGGTGTGCTGGCGGCTGCTGCCCTGCCTCCTGCTGCTCAGGGGGCGTCTGGGACTGAGTTGGGAGGGAGGCACGGAGGACATCCATCCGGCACGTGGGGCAGGTTTGCTGGCGCTGGAACCATGACCGCAGGCAGCTGTGGAAGGGGAGAGACAGCCTGTGTTGGTGCGTATCCATGGAGACTTGGAAAAACCCCCACTTTTTTGCGAGGGGACATGGGCGGGCGCCAGAACTACCACTGGAAACGCAACCAGACGCCCGCCCTTGCCCCGCGGTTTCCAGAAACTAGTACCTCCGAGGTACTAGTTTTTTACCCTGCATCTTCAGCGGGAAGCCTCGGGTGCGCCACGGGAGCTCTATGCTTCCCAGATGTGGCGGTGAGATCGCGCCTGGAAAATCCGCCTATCTTCCATCTCTCTAGCGTGCCTAATGCTCCGTGTGACCGAGGCCTTTGATCACCTTCCCTTCCTCTCCCCACAAAAGACACCCTGTAGGTAGGGCTGAGCTCCAAAAGAACTGTGACTGACCCAAGGTCATCCAGCAAGCTTTTATGTGAAGGAGTGGGGAATCAAACCCAGTTCTCCAGATTAGAGTACACAGCTCTTACCCCATTACACCACACTGGCTCTCCCACTACACCACAGAAAGGAACATTCCTCAGAGGAAAAGCACATGCCTTAAATTGCCTGTTACCTCCTTTTATAGAATATTAGGTAGCAGAGCTGGGAAAGATCTCTGGCCTCCAATCTGAGCAGATCATATGGGGCTAGATGGTCTGACTTACTACACAGCAGTTCCATAGGTTAAGTTACACAAGACAGCTCTGTCAACAAATTTATCAATCACACAGAGGCTTTTCTTCACCTGGTGTGGAATATGTGGTTGCAAGGTAGGCGTTTAGCACCTGTCACCATCTCCTCCCGACAGATAATACACACATTGTCCATGGCCTGCAGCTCTTCTGGGGTGGCATCAGGATACCTGAGAGAGAAAACCTTGAATTAAGGGTGGGCATATTCCATATATCTGCAGGACCTACTATAATGGCCTGTCCTGCACCCTGAGATGTACACATTTTTGTTAGCAGCTGTTTTGTTCTGTTCTGTTCTCTATTGAGGCAGTAAAAGTTCTATAACACCCAAATGCTTTGTTCTGGATGTAACCCCACCTTCTTGGTTTATCTACTGACTCTCGCCTAGGTGGTTCCACCTCCTCAGTAGTCACAAGACCCTTGCAGACACCCAAGGAGAACCATCTCCTCCTCCTCCTCTCTCTCTCTCTCTCTCTCTCTCTCTCTCTGAATGATGAATACTCACAGGGTGTTCATGTTGCGTATGGCCCGGCGGGACATGATGGCATCTGTCACAGCCTTTTTGAACTGTCTGGAAAGATACAAAGAGTCCATTTTACTAGATAAACACATAACACCATTATGACACAGTGACCCAAGAGCAAAAGACTACACAGTTTTGTATGGGAAAGGTTCTTCATGAATATATTGGAACCAATACCAGTCTGTTCTAATATTGCTTCAATTTATTTTAAGATGCCCATTAAACATATGGTACTATACTCAAAACAACAATGCTCTTCCCACTGGATTAATCTTTTGGTATGTTGGATTGTTCTATCAATTACAAAAAAAATTCTCTTTCACAAAGCAAATGTAAACACACTATTGGTAGGTCATGACTAATGTTCCCTCTAAGCTGTGGAGTCTTGTGAGCAAAAATTCTACTTTGTGAGCTACTGGCATTAAAGTTGTGAGCGAGCGATTTGGCTGCTGCATAAATTAGTTTGTTCTGGAGCCATCCTTCCTGAGCAAAGACAAAAATGTGTGAGCCAGGGGCTAAAAAACTGTGAGCTAGCTCACACGAACTCAGCTTAGAGGGAACACATGACTGGGCAATTCAGCCTCATTACTCACACAGAAGCAATATTAATTTTCACATGGGTATGAAATGTCCCTCTAAAAACAGATGCAGTAGCTGTCTTGGTCTGAAGCAACAGAACCAAGTTTGAGTCCAGTGTCACCTTTTAAGACCAACAAAGTTTAATTCTGGGTATGGTACCTGATAAAGTGTGCACACACACAAAAGCGTATGCCCAGAATTAAACTTTGTTGGTCTTAAAAGGTGCCACTGGACTCAAATTTTGTTCTATTTCCTCCAAAAACAGTTTCCAAACAGTTTTTCAAGCTGGAATAATCAGATGTACCATTACACGCCACTCACTCACCTCATAGCCAGGTACATGGGCCGGATAGCAAACAGCGGGAAGGTATGTACTTTGATCATGATGGTCATGAAGGCCATGTACAGCAACACCTTGATGAAACCTGGAGCAGGAGGAGGTGGCAGCATTAGCTTTGCTTTCACTTCCACAAACCACTATTTCTCATTACGCAGGAGAAGCAAGAAGAAGCTGCCTTGAAGCACGTACAAATCTGAGACGCAACAGGAATCGGGACACAACTGCTTAGCCGGTGCAATACTGAGGGGCAACAGAGAATCATAGAATTGGAAGGGACATCCAAGGTCATCTAGTACAACCCCCTGCACAATGCAGGGAATTTACAAATAACTTTCCTCCACATCCCCAGTGACCCCTGTTCTATGCCCAGAAGATGGCAAAAACAAAACCTGCAGGATCCCTGGGCAAACGGGCCTGGAGAAAATTGCTTCCTGACCCCAAAGTGGCAATCAGCATGTCCCAGGGCATGAAAGAAAGGACCATGAAAACGAAGCACTGATGCAACCCTTCCTGCCCTCCCTCTCGTGATCTGCCTACATTCACAGAATCAGCATTAATTTCAGATGGCCATCTAGCCTCTGTTTGAAAACCTCCAAAGGAGAGCCCACCACCTCCCAAGGAAGCCTGTTCCACTGAGTAGCTGCTTTGTCAGGAAGTTCTTCCTAATGTTTAGCCAAAAGCATTTCTGATTTAATTTCAACCCATCGGTTCTGGTCTGACCTTCTGGGGCAACAGAAAACAACTCCACACCATCCTCTATATGACAGCTCTTCAAGTACTTGAAGATGGTTATCATATAACCTCTCAGTCATCTCTCCAGGCTAAACATACCCAGCTCCTTCAATCTTTCCTCATAGGACTTGGTCTCCAGATCCCTCACTATTTTTGTTGCCCTACTCTGGACACATTCCAGCTTGTCTATACAGTTTGTCAACAGAAGGTGATGCAGAAGCTAAAGCTACACCTGTGCAACAGCATCAACACACCACCTCTATGCCACACCAGCCTCACCTCCTTGAGGTGCCTCTGGGAGAAAGAGGGAGAAAAACAGCTGGAAAAACTGAAGATGAGGGCACAGCAGCCAGTCATGGCTTGATAAGCTGGGGCCGTAGCTACCATCTGGCCGTTGTACAAAGATAGGAGAACAGCATGAAAGTTGCAAAATCATCCTGCATGCAGTTGAAAAACACAGTACAGGGGCTGCAGAAGCAATTAACACTGGGCGAAAATGGCTGATACGAGGACCAGGTCTCTTACCATGCAGGCAAGATCAGCTCAAGCCTAAAAACAACCCAACCTCTTCATGTTTAAAACCATGCAAAGGAAATCAAGATATCCGGAATACAGTGACCTGGTAGAGATTTATTTAATAGCATTTATATACCACACCCTCTCCTGTGCAGTCTCGGAGCGGTCCCTCCTTACTCTCACAATAGCCTCAATGGAATATCCCTTCAGTATGTTGCCACAATCTTACACCCCCAGTATTGGAAACCTACAGACACACGTACCCCTTCTGCTCATATATGGACGGGCCATCTGGACTAGGTCCACACTTGCCTACGTTCAGAAGCCATGGCATTAGTGATGTTCAAAGACCATTCACTGAACCCAACTTGATCTTTGTTTTTTTAAGGAGGGGAGCAGCTGGCAGGCAAACCCAGGAGGACAGAGAGCAGCCTCTTGCATTGGGCCAGTCACCAACACTGGCCCGAATGTTACAGAAAGGACCCAATAGAAGTAGGCCTCTGATCGTTCCCTTTCAGGAAGGCAACAGTCATTACCTGTGAAGAGTTCTGTGTAAAGCATGTACACTGCCTTGTTGTCCCAGGGATTCTCACTCTGGAGGTCGATGGAGTGCAGGATGTATTTGATGAAGATGGTGAGCACCATTGTCATGAGGATGGCATACTGGAGAGAAGGGAGGGGGGGAAAGAGAAGGAGAGGAATCAAAAGGATGCAGCATCCATCTGCCTGCTTCTCTGTAATCCTGTTGTCACGTCACTGGTCAAACAAAACAAAACACAACGCAGGATGGGATCAGAAGTCCCATCTCCTGCCCTCCCAGAAGCAATCCCCCCCCCCAACACCTGTATCACATAATCCACAGCAGAGATAAAATCGAAAACAACTGAAGACCAAAATAAGTCAACATCTAAATACATATATGGAAAAGTAAAAACTTTTCACCTGGTGTCTAAAACGCAAGAAATTTGATACCATATGAACAAGCTGTGGGAAAAGGAGTTCCAAATACATTTTTTTTTTCAAACAGCAGAGAACATAAGAACATAAGAGACGCCAATGTTGGATCAGGCCAAAGGCCCATCCAGTCCAACACTCTGTGTCACACAGTGGCCAGAAATACCAGGTGATATCAGGAGGTCCACCAGTGGGGCCAGGACATTAGAAGCCCTCCCACTGTTGACCCCCCCCCCCAAGCACCAAGAAGACAGAGCATCACTTGCCCCAGAGCCCCTAGCTATACCTTGTGGCTAATAGCCACTGATGGACCTCTGCTCCATATGCTTATCTAATTCCCTTTTGAAGCCGTCCATGCTTGTAGCCGCCACCACTTCCTGTGGCAGTGAATTCCAAGTGTTAATCACTCTTTGGGTGAAGAAGGACTTCCTTTTATCCGTTCTAACCCAACTGCTCAGCAATTTCATTGAGTGCCCACGAGTTCTTGTATTGTGAGAAAGAGAGAAAAGTACCTCTTTCTCTATCTGCTCTATCCCATGCATAATCTTATAAACCTCGATCATGTCACCCCTCAGTCCTCCTTTCTCCAAGCTAAAGAGCCTTAAGCGTTTTAACCTTTCCTCATAGGGAAAGTGTCCCAACCCTTTTATCATTCGAGTTGCCCTTTTCTGCACTTTTTCCAAAGCTATAATATCCTTTTTAAGGTGTGGTGCCCAGAACTGCACACAGTATTCCAAATGAGGTCTCACCATTGATTTATATAGGGGCATTATTATATTGGCTGATCTGTTTTCAATACCCTTCCTAATAATCCCCAGCATAGCATTGGCCTTCTTTATTGCAGTCACACACTGTCTCAACATTTTCAGTGAGTTATCCACTACAACTCCAAGATCTCTCTCTTGCTCAGTCTCTGCCAGTTCAGACCCCATCAATGTGTATTTATATTTAGGATTTTTGGCTCCAATGTGCATCACCTTGCACTTGGCCACATTGAACCCCATTTGCCATGTTGACGCCCACTCGCCCATCCTTGACAGATCCCCTTGGAGTGCCTCACAATCCTCACTGGTTTTCACCACCCTGAACAACTTTGTATCATCCGCAAATTTAGCCACTTCACTGCTTACTCCCATCTCCAAATCATTAATGAACAAGTTAAAAAGCAGTGGACCAAGTACTGATCCCTGCGGTACCCCACTGCTTACCACCCTCCACTGAGAAAATTGCCCACCTACACTCACTCTCTGTTTTCTATGAACTAGCCAGTTTTTGATCCATAAAAGAACTTGTCCTTCTATCCCATGATTTTTGAGCTTACTTAGGAGCCTTTGATGAGGAACTTTATCAAAAGCTTTCTGGAAGTCAAGGTAAATAATATCTATTGGATCCCCCTTGTCCACATGTTTGTTCACCCCCTCAAAGAACACTAACAGGTTAGTGAGACAAGATCTTCCCTTACAGAAACCGTGCTGAGTCTGCCTCAATAGGTTTTGTTCATCTATGTGCCTACTAATTCTTTCCTTAATAATGGTTTCCACCAATTTACCCGGTATCGACGTCAGACTGACTGGCCTGTAATTTCCCGGATCTCCTCTGGAACCCTTTTTAAAGATGGGAGTGACATTAGCTACCTTCCAATCCTCAGGAATGGAGGCAGATTTTAAGGAAAGATTACATATCTTTGTCAGGAGATCTACAAGTTCACATTTGAGTTCTTTCAGAACTCTCGGATGTATGCCATCTGGGCCTGGTGATTTTTCAGTTTTTAAGTTGTCTATCAGTTTTAGGACCTCCTCTCTCATCACCTCAATCTGACTCAGGTCTTCCAACACCCCTCCTGAAATCAGTGGTTCTGGAGTGGGCAAGCACTTCTCATCTTCCACAGTGAAGACGGAGGCAAAAAATGCATTTAGCTTCTCAGCCATTTCCCTATCATCCTTCAATACTCCTTTTACCCCTTGGTCGTCCAAGGGCCCCACTGCCTCCCTGGCTGGTTTCCTGTTTCTAATGTATTTGAAGAAAGTTTTATTGTTGGTTTTTACGTTTTTTGCTATATGCTCCTCATATTCCCTTTTTGCCTGCCTGACCTCAGACTTGCATTTTATTTGCCATAGCCTGTGTTCCGTTTTATCAGCCTCACTGTGACTAGCTTTCCACTGCTTAAAGGAATTCTTTTTACTTTTTACAGCCTCCATTACTCTGTTTGTTAACCATGCAGGCTTTTTCCTATACCTGTTTGTGCCTTTCCTAACCTGCGGAATATATATTTTTTGAGCTTCTAGGATCGTAGTTTTAAATAGATCCCAAGCTTCCCCAATTGTTTTGACCCTTTCTACTTTTCCTTTCAGTTTCCTCCCCACGTGTCCCCTCATATCAGAGAAATTACCCCTTTTAAAGTTAAAAATGGTTGTGTGAGTCTTTTTGGCCAATTCTCTATTTGTACAAATGATGAACTCAACAACATTATGATCACTGTTTCCAAGCGGTGCAATCACTTTTACATCTCTCACCAGGTCTTGAGTGTTACTTAGGACCAAATCAAGGATCGCCTCTCCCCTGGTAGGTTCCGTGACCATCTGCTCCATAGCACAGTCATTTAGAGTGTCTAGAAACTCAATCTCTTTTTCCCGGCTAGAACACATATTGACCCAATCAATGTGTGGGTAGTTAAAATCACCTATTATTACACAGTGTTTTTGTCTAGTTGCTATCTTTAAGGCATTCATCATTTTATAATCCTCCTCTATCTTTTGATCTGGTGGGCGATAACAAACTCCCAGTGTTAAGTTTCCTTTTGGCCCCCCTATTTCAACCCATAGAACTTCCAGAAGCGAATCCAATTCACTTAGCCTCTCAATCTTTCTAGACTTTATACCCTCTCTGACATACAGAGCTACCCCACCTCCAACCCTTCCCCCCCTATCCTTCCGATATAATATATAACCAGGAATCACTGTGTCCCACTGATTTTCCTCATCCCACCAAGTTTCAGAAATACCCACAATGTCTATTTTTCCCTCCCTCACCAAGCACTCCAACTCCCCGATTTTACCTCGGACACTTCTAGCATTTGTATAGAAACAGCTGTAATTTCCCTTACAAGTTAAGCCTGCATCCTTCCTCTTGCTATCTCGAGTCGTTGTCCGGCAGTCCATGTCACCAGCCATGGCCTCTGTGGACAATTTCAATCCACCTCCCTGTAGAAAAGAAACCGGTACCCCCTCACCTCTCTCAGATGAGCCAACCCGAACCAGAGACTTTTCATCTCCTGTCGGCTTTCCCCCAATATTCAGTTTAAAAGCTGAGGGGACCCTACCACATCACAAAGTGCTTATGAAATGCCCTGTTTTCAAATGTGGGTGCCATGTGACATAGAAAACTGTTGCTTGACACACTCTGGACACAGAACTACTCGTGCCATCCTGTGGGTGCAGGCCATGGGGATGAGTCAGAATTCACATAAACCAGGTCCTTTGCACTGGCTGGGAAGAGGAACCAGTCCACCTTGTACCCTGATCTGTAAGTGCAAGCATTTTTAACACTAGCCCCTCCCCAAAACCACACCTAGGAATAAAACCCTTCCTCACCCCCATGAGCACGAATCACAGGCTGCTTTAGAAGGAAAAGCATCATGCAACGCCATTAAAAACCAGCCCACTTCTTGCCTAGAAACCAGCTAGGATTTTTGCTTGGTATTTTTACACTTTTACCAGTCAGAAACTCTTGATATGCAATTAAGTCACTGGTTATTGTTTGTGCTCTTGAACACCCTGTCAGTCTTCGATCTTTCGCGATGGAGTAAAAGCAACAGTTCCCACACTGCGTCTTAGCTCTGGTCTGCAGATAATGAACTCCCTTATGAACTTGGCTGACCACTAGGGTCATCTATGGAGGCCCTGCTTCAGGTGCCCCAGCCTGGCGGGTGGCAATGCGGGAGAGGGCCTTCTTGGTCATGGCACCAGAACTCTGGAACTCGCTTCTCTCCTGCTGCTGCCTTCCACTAGCAGATGAAGACTTTTTTCTATTGCCTGACATTCCCTCAATGATCCCTCCTTCCTGCCTAATGTTGTTGTTGTTAGTATTAGTAGTATCTCTTTGTATGTATTTTTGCACTGTTTGTAATTATTTTAATGTGTGTTTTTTGCATGGGGTGGATTGGTTTTCAAATGTGATTTGTATTGGTTTTTAAATGTGATTTTACTATGTGTTAATTTGTCAGCCAATGTTGATAGCCCTTGTGTGGACAGAAAAGCAAGATATAAATTTTGTAAATAAATAGGTCTGTACATTTGAAAAGCACACCCACTCACTTCAAACCCAAACACCAGCTGGACGGAAGCTCCCCGTGTGAGGATACTGTGGTAGGCGTGGTTGACAAACAAGAAATCCAGGATGCCCAACAGCAACATCAGAGCTGGAAAAACAAAACATGATTTCACCAGGAGAAGGGCATAAGCAAGCAAGACATCAAGATTTCACACAATCTCCATGCCCACTACATTCCAAGCGACTTAAGGAAGCACTACTAGGTTCTCTCATTAATGGTAGAAGGGTAAGGTTAAAGGTTAAGGCAGGGGGGCAGATCTGGGACGCCAGGATTCCCACTACAGCTTTGGAAGTGAGAATTGGTAATGCAAGACTTTTGTTCTACAATTATTTCTTGGTAATGTCCACAGGCAGAGCAGCTCTCCCTCAAACTGCCCAAGGAAGTACAGTCTTGCGTTCAATGGCTCAGTGGGGCTGTGTACTGGCAGAGGCCACATGCAAATTGCTGCCTGAAATCATCCTTCCTGGCCAGCTGCTGCTCTTTGCAAATTCACTGGAAGGAAGTGCTTAAGATGAGAGGACAATGGCACCCATGCATCTGACAGGGGACACCCCAGAGGCACACTTCCCCTACTCTCCCCAGCATCTAACCACCTGTGCAAAACCACAACACGCAGACTAACTGCCACTCTGCAGCCGCAAAAGGATCTTTGACAGGTTTTTTAACTGGCTCGGATGAGGTGCGCATGAGCAGCTGGACCTCCTTCCTGTTCTGGTTGGAAACGCCTGGCAGAGCTCCCCGCAGTTACCCACACAGGAGGAGGAAGGGCTGGCAGAAGGTGATGGGAGGAAAGCACAAAACTCTCCAAGAGGAATTTGCACTCCACAAATTCCCCACAAGGAGAGCCAGTCCCCCTTGGGGACATTCAAAGCCCCTTTTCTGGTTTCTCTCAGCTTGCTCTGGAAAAAAATTAAGTCTCTGGCCCATTTAGGTGTGGAGACAAAAGGCAAAGTGTGCATGCATTATCATAACCACTGCCCAGTAAGAAGTCAACCTGCTCTAAGTTCTGGACAATGAATCCAAAAGCACCAGAATGACTGGGGCCATCCTCATCTTATTCAGAGCTCCCACAAGGGGATCACTGTAATTGTAACACCACTAGACAATATTAAACAGTTAATGTTTATTAAGCTGATGTAACTACTTAACGTATTAGGCAACTTAGTTCTGGTTGTTCTGTTTTCAGATCTCTGCTTCCTACCCCACAGCTTAGGGTACCTTTAAGCCTCCTAACCACACAACACCTAGCTAGAGACCTTTCACTCTATTTGCTACAAGCCTCGTCCCTACGTGGCCTGAAGTTCATGAAGAATCACAGGAACATTTTAAGAGCTTAGCCTAAGCATGTGACCTAAACAACCTTTCGGCAGGGCTGGTTCCTGTGGTATCTGGATCCTAACTCATCACTACCCCACAAATCTGGGTTTAAGAGGATTGGCCTTAGGGAAGGCTTGAACCCCCCACCCTTTGCTATTAAGAAAACCACTGGACTGCTGAGCCGGATGATGTGTCAGCAGCGCCTGGCCTGAACACTACTTCCTGTGCATGTGAGAGTGGTGTTGCCTGCTTTGTCAAGTATGTCCCACAGAGGGGCTGACTTTGAAAAGAAGCTGCAACTTATATAGCTTATGCAAATAATCACTTACACGATTTGTATTTTACTTTTGTTCTTTATTTTTATCTCTGCTTTATCCCATGAGGCTCATTAGACTGACACTGTGTGGCTGGTTCAGTAGGGCTATGAAACCAGGTCTCCCCAGTCAAGTCTAATACTAACAGCCGTCAAGAACTGGGAAAAACGAGCACCCATATGGGCACTAAGGAACCCACTATCCCTTCTGACAACAGGGGAGCCCACCTCAAGCCCCCACCATATTCTTCCACAGTGGCTCCTGAAAAAATGAATCTATACTTAGAATCATAGAGTTGGAAGGGACCTCCAGGGTCATCTAGTCCAACCCCCTGCACAATGCAGGAACTTCACAAGTACCTCCCACCTCCACACACACCCAGTGACCCTTGCTCCATGCCCAGAAGATGGTAAAAAACCTCCAGGTCAAACTGGCCTGGAGAAAATTGCTTCCTGACCCAAAAGTGGCAATCGGCACTTCCCTGGGCATGTAAGAAAGGGCCACAGGAACTAAGCACTGATGCAACCCTTCCTGCCCTCCCTTCTCATGATCTGCCTAAGTTCACAGAATCAGCAGAAATGTCAGATGGCCATCTAGCCTCTGTTTAAAAACTTCCAAAGGAGAGCCCACCGCCTCCTGAGGAAGTCTGTTCCACTAAGGAATCGCTCTCACTGTCAGGAAGTTCTTCCTAATGTTCAGCTGAAAACTTTTGATTTATATTCAACCCGTTGGTTCTGGTCTGACCTTCTGGGGCAACAGAAAACAACTCCACACCATCCTCTATATGATAGCCCTCAAAGTACTTGTGGATGGTAATCATATCACCTCTCAGTTGTCTCCTCTCCAGGCTAAACATACCCAACTCCTCCAACCTTTCCTCATAGGTCTTGGTCTCCAGACCCCTCACCATCTTCACTGCCCTCCTCTGGACACTTTCCCGCTTGTCTATATCTTTCTTCTATTGTGGTGCCCAAAACTGAACACAATGCTCTAGGTGAGATCTAACCAGAGCAAAGTAAAGCAATATCATCACTTTGCGTGATCTGGACACTATACTTCTGCTGATACAGCCCAAAATTCCATTCACCTTTTTAGGTACCGCATCACACTGCTGACTCATGTTCAGTGTATGGTCTACTAAGGCCCCTAGATCCTTTTCGCACATGCTACTGCCAAGACAAGTCTCCCCCATCCTATAACTCTGCATTAATTTTCCCTACCTAAATGCAGAACTTGACATTTATCCCCATTAAAAATCATTTTATTTGTTTTAGCCCTGTTTTTCAGCCTGTCAAGATGATCCTGTATCCTGACTTGGTCTTCTACCGTATTTGCTACCCCTCCCAATTTAGTATCTGTAAGTTTAATAAGCATTCCATTTATTCCTTCATCCAAATAATTTATAAAAATGTTGAACAAAACAGGTCCCAGGACAGATCCTTGAGGTACTTCACTTGTCACTACTCTCCAAGAGGATGCGGAACCATTAACAAGCATTCTTTGAGTGCAATCTGTCAACCAGTTACAGATTAATCTAATGGCAATAGGATCCAAACCACATTTTACCAACTTGCCAACAAGAATATTATGTGGAATCTTATCAAAAGCCTTAATGAAATCAAGATAAACTATGTCTACAGCATTCCCCTGATCTAGCAAGGTACTAACTTTCTCCAAAAAGAGATAAGGTTAGTGTGACATGATTTGTTCTTGAGAAACCCATGCTGGCTCTTAGTAATCACAGACATTCTTTCTAAATGCTAAAGGACTGACTGATGATTTTTTCCAAAACTTTTCCAGGTATAGACATCAAGCAGGTCGAATCCTCCTGCTCGCCTCCAGTCTTCTGGCACCTCACCTGTTCTCCAAGAATTCTCAAAAATAATGGACAAATGCTCAGAAATTACATCCTCAAGTTCTTTTAGTACCCTTGGATGCAATTTATCTGGCTTTGGGGACTTTGTTTCATTTAAAGAGACTAGGTGTTTATGTACTACACATACGCCAATCCTAGACTGCAACTGCCTTCCCCCATGTGTTCTTAGCACACTTACAAGTGACTGTTCAAAAGAAGACTCATACTTACAGACAATGCGGAAATGGAAGAGCCAGGAAATGTTTGGACTCCTCTCCATCTGTAGGGGCAAAAAACCAAAAACAGATGAAGCTGAACCAGCCAGTTTCCTCAAGCCTCACCTACCACCTAAATCCACTTGTATCTTTATTAAATAAGTTGCCACAGGATTTTGGTGGTTTCCATTGCATGTAGCTCCTCTGTATCATGGGCAGATATCAATGTTTCTCAGTGCCCCCAGAAACCTGAAGAACAGGGATCACTTGAAGACAGAAGGATTCACAAGGCATGGCCTCATGGTCAGAAGAATCCCAGACACTTAAAATTGATGTTGGTGCTAAATAATCTTGCTTTGTCCCTCCCCAAACAGGGTTAGTGTCTAAATGTTAGAAACTTGATACATTTTTGTAGCTTTGTGACTGCAGTCACAAACTTAGTTTGAAAGAGAGGCTGATAGGAAGGAAATGACCATAACTACATTCTTGAGTCTAAGTGAGAAAGGTGGACTATAACTGACATAAATAAATGAATGAATGAAAACTAATAAAACTACCAACACAGGCTGCTCAGGTAGGGACTAATTTTTTGGTAGAATTACTTTTACAGGCTCCATTCACTGCCAAAAAAAAGCTATACTTCCCTTCACACTGTGCCATTTCCACCTGAAAAACAGTGACTTTCAAACTTCCTACTCTCAGGAAATGCTCTTCACATGAGCATTCAACTGCCACATGAACCAAGAGCACATCCTAGAAGGCACCTGGTACCTGCAGACTGCAAAGGAAGAGTAAAGGTTTAAAGGTAAAGGTTTCCCTTGCTCGAAAGCCAGTCAAATCTGACTCTAGGGGGAAGAGTGCAGCAGGTCAAATATTTTTCAGGAAAGCTCATATACCATTACAGATTGTCTTATGGAAGAAGCCCCCCGATAAGTCAGGGAGTTCCTTGAAAACAGTTTGAAAGCCATCACTATTAAGTTATATCAAATTTGCTTCTGTGCTAAACTTCAGCTTAAGCTTCCCATTGCACTTATTTGTAAGGCTACACTAAGAGGCTACAGAATTTCCAGGTTCAAAAGGAAAAAAATTAGCATAGTCAAATTGCCCTTCTGAATACCAAAGCAAAATAAAATTATTTCCCACTATGCCGTATTCCACTGCCTTTGTGCAGTAAGGCACAAATCACATATTTAGCGTGCCTTCCCAAAATGCTGATGTCCTGTATATTTGCATATCGTACTCACAAAGTCCACCCGGTCTTCTGCCAGCCAGTGGAAGCACTTGAGAAAGAGCAGGAGTGTGAAAAGGGCCACAAAACGAGGGCTGAAGTCATCCCTGAAGACTGTGAAGGCAAGGCAGGTCTCGGTCACTGCATACCATGACCGCTCAAGCAGATGCTGTGTGAGAAAGATTGATTTAAGGCGCTCTCTCTAATCCCCAGATCCTCCCATCTTCAAGGTGTGTATGCGGGCACACAAACAGTGCTTCAAACAGAAGCAAATTCTTCATTTCCTAACAGTTGCTCTTTGTAGGCAAGTGGAACTGGAAACCTCCACACCTTTAGGTTCACCAACACATGGGGAACCTAGCTGGCTGGCAGATAATACAGAAGCATGTGTCAAATCGTGACATGTCACTGCTTTCACATGAAGGGAAACATGCTTCCTACGAGACCCCCACTGGCTCCATTTTATTCCACAGCTCAGCAATTAGAAGTAACTGTATAAGATAAGCTTTCCGAACGAAGGAGAACACAGAGATCCTGGCTCCTTCCAGCCCATAAATGTATCCACTTCCCATGATACTCAAGCTGAGAGCCAGTTTGGTGTAGAGGTTAAGTGTGCGGACTCTAATCTGGGAGAACCGGGTTTGATTCCCCACTCCTCCACTTGCACCTGCTGATGTGACCTTGGGTCAGTCACAAGCTCTGGCACAGCTGTCCTTGAAAAAGAGCAGTTTGTGTCAGATTTCTCTCAGCCCCACCCACCTCACAGGGTGTCTGTTGTGGGGAGGGGAAGGGAAAGGAGTTGGTAAGCCGCTCTGAGACTCCGAGTGAAGGGTGGGGTATAAATCCAATCTCTTCTTCTTCTTTCCAGTTCCCTATCAAGGCCACCATTTCACTCCCACAATCACCTTTCACCAGCAGGCTCACCTCCATTTCCGCTGCTCGCAGCTGTCCAAAAAACACTTTGCCCATGAATTTGCCTAACAGGAACACCAGGACAAAAGCTTGAATGTATAGAACCTGCAATACACAAAAAGATGATTTTTAAAAATAAAACACTGCTTCTTAAACAGACAACACTGCACTAGTGAAATTAACAAGGCATTCCACTGAATACAGTCCGCTCTTCTGATCCTTGCAAGGTAAATACCACCACTGCTGAAAAAAGGATCTCCTCAAATATTTTTAATTCCTTTATCACAGTCTGACCAAGGACTATTTTTTGTCAAGTATAACAGGAATGCCCAGTATAAAACAGGCAAGCAGAAATGGAAAAATTCCAAGGTTTGACTGTCCAAGCACTGGAAAAAAAGTATATATATCAACGTATCTAAAATAAACATGCAAATACTTAAATCCACAGAGCAGGGCTATGTTGACAGAAGGGAGGTTTCTCTTCAAATCTGGGGGGCCCAAGGAAGTTTCCACAAAGTTTATTTCCCAAAAAGAAAACCCCCACAAAAGACAGAGCGGTTGTCTGTGTTTGCGCAGACAAACGTCTCCTGGGAGCTTCCCCTCTCCTGCCTCCCACTAAGGCAGCCTTGCTGGAGGTGTGCAATTTGCCAGGAGAACCTCTGACTACCATCCCGCCATCAAAACCACCACTAAGATGGCAGTGATGGAGGCGGGGGAGCCTCCACTGCCCCCCCGTCCTTCCTCCTGTCAAAACCACCACTCAGGTGGCAGCACAGGAGGTGGGCTAGTGAGCAAGAAAGGGGGGGGGAACCATCTGCCACCTCCAGACCCAGGGAGGGGGATGGTGTGTTAGTCACAGTTCTATCAGAACTCTCCCAGCCCCACCTACCCCACAAGGTGCCTGTTGTGGGGAGAGAAGGGAAAGCGATCGAAAGTCGCTTTGAGACTGCTCAAGATACAGAAACGTGGGGTATAAAAACCTACTCTTCTTCTTCATTACTTTTTTTATTGGTGGAAGTTAATTATTATTTACTTCATTTATACCCCACCTTTCTCCCCAATGGGGACCCAAAGGGGCTTACGTGGTCCTCCTCCCTTTTATTCTCACAACAACCTTGAGCGGTAAGGCTAGGCTGAGAGCGTGTGACTGTACCAAAGTCACACAGCAAGTTCTCATGGCAGAGAAGGGATTCAAACCTGTGCCTCCCAGATCCCAGTCCAACACCCTACACGTCAATCAAGGAGGTTGAATACGCATGGGTGTTTGAAAAGATTCTGTTTAAAATACAGCTTGCTGCTAAGCACTTGGAATGCCAAATTTGCTCTGCTAGACCCCAGTTAGAGCAGGATGTGTGTTCCCACCACCAGCATAAATTCAAAGGAAAGATAATCACATCAGCAAACCACAATAAAAGCCAGAGATCACCTCCCCCCCCCCAACAAGACACACACATTCCTGAACCAATTTCGAGGTCTATGAGATTGAGGCACATGGACAAATCAAAGCACCTAAAATTTTCAGGCAGTATACATAAGGATACCAGATGCTGGGGGAAAGAGGCAACAAGAGGAGTCTTTGGCCTCTCTGCTCCTGCTTGTGGACCTTCCAGGACGTCTAACTGGCCACTACAGAATCTTGAAGGAGACAGACCATAAGCATGGTCCAGCAGACCATATGCCTGTGTCGTCAACAGCATCTGTCCTTTCTTCAAAGGGCTATTGCTCCTTCAGCAAGCTGCCTAAGGTCCCCCCCCCATTCTTGCCACCCGATCACCCATTATGCAATCAGTTATGTCAATCGTTAATCTATACTGTTGCAGTTGAAGGCACGTGTTAAGGCTCTGATCCACATGCAGTGCCATGGAGAATACTCTGAAATCTGCATCTTGCTTCTAGGCAGCTCACACACATGGGGCGTGTGCTGGAATATACATAAGGGATATGTTCATACACCACTCCCTGCTTGACTCCCTAGAGAGAAAGGAGTCCTATGCTCTAAAGTGGATATACTCCCTGAAAAAGACTGAACGGGTACATGCTCTGGTAATAAGCAGAGTCTCCATAGTAAGGCAAGTCATTCCTGCTACGTTCTCATTTTAATTCCCCACTAAGTCAGAACAGAACATACTGGGCAATTAACTTATTAAAACTGAAGTGTTCACAAAAACACGGACTGCTCCACGATAAATCACCTTAGTTCCATGTTCAGCGTAGCCCCTTGTATTTGGTTGATGCTGAAAATGTTAAGTGTATATACAATTTAACATCTCTTCAACATCAGCCACAAGTCAGCGACTCAGCAAACATCTGGAATATACAGTCTCATCATAATTGCTACGGCCAGCCATCCAGAATAATGAAAAAAGGGAAGTGTCGTAAGTTTGTCGAATATCAGTTAACCAGGTAGAATTACTAAAACCCAGAATAAGCAAATCTGTTCTCCTCATGCCCATCCCTCCATAACCACACAAGCTTACACTGGTTTATGGCTGAGACAGACCATGAGTCCATCTACCCCAGTACTGTCGATCCTGATTGTGAGAGTCATTCCAGAGTCCTTTTCTTTTTGGAGACACTACAAATGGGACCTGGAATCTTCTAGTTTGAAGAGACACCCCCCCACCCACACACACAAGGCTGAATTAAACCCTGCTCCTTGGCAACTGAGATGTGCACACTCACCGCCATGCTGGGACTGGACTTGGTCAGGTACACTACCGTCGGGTAGAACTGGTGCTTCAGGTAATAGGCATGAGCCACTACAGCAGAGGTCAAGGCCAGGCTGGCAGCCATCATGATGGCTGTTCGGAACATCTCCCCAGCCCAGCGTCCTGTAGCCTGTGCAAGAGAAAGGAAAAACACAAAGAGTTAGACCAGAGACACAGACTGAGGCAGCGTTTGTCTCAGTTTACAAAACAGGAAAAGCCATGTAATTTGCATTGCAATGGCCCAATGCATCCATACTGCTATTCTCAGCAGTCTGGTGAACAATCTAATTATTGTACATGCACTCTCTCCTGACACAGTGTACTTCATGCTTACAACTCTTATTTGCCCTAGGTAACTGCCTCACAGTGACCAGGAAGAAACCATAAAAGCTGGCTCTTCTTCGCTGCTGTAAATTAGCTACTTAAAAAAAAAAAATAGCCCAGTTGCCTATCCGGATCTAAGTGGGCATATATTTACTAGGCTTGTACACTCTATTCCAAACCCCAGATTTTAACACCCAAAACAAGAAAATAAGAAACTGCCTACATATTTTGATTCCACTCGTCATAATGCCCGAATAATCCTGATTAGCCTGATCTCATCAGAGCTTGGAAGCTCAGCAGATGGGATGGTGGATGGAAGACCCTGTGGGATCACCATAAGTCAGCTGTAACTTGCTAGCACATTCCACTATTTAATTTATTTATTTATTTATTGTTAGCATTTTTACCCCGCCCTCCCCACAAGCGGGCTCAGGGTGGTTTACAAATATCTACCTTATTTTAAATTAAGCAGGCAAAGTTGCATGCTGCCAAAAAGCACAGAGCTCATGTATTTTGGTACTTGAAATGGAATATCCAAGTGACACAAACAGGAGACACAATCCAAGCAGGAATATCCCTTGAGCATCCCTCATTGAAATGGAGCGGCACAAAAGCAGAGTCCGTTTCAGTAAGAATTGTGCAGCAGAACTTCCCAGCAGACTGTGTTCTGCCTTGTGCAAAGTGTCACATTCCCCTGCCTTTGAAAGTTCCAGAAATCTGACAATAAGCAAAATACTTTACTCTATCAGACAGAGTGGTTGCCCCTGGAAGTGGCATGTATCCTCCGTGCCCCAAGCCAGAATCACTAACTAATCTGACCATGGTGTAATGAGCAAACCCCATCTGAACTGTGTCCATTCAAGAGTTTTTCCCCCTACTTATGGCCCAATGGTCACTAGGCTGGCCATCCCAAGTTCTAAAAACCTTAGCAGTGAAAAGTACCCACCCATCAAAACAGACAGCTTCAGAACCATGAAAAAGAGTTGTCATAATTGTAGAGAAAACTTCTGGCTTGACTCACTAAGAAAAAGTAAGCTACATGTAAAAAAGACCGAATACTCATTTGGTGGAATGCCACAGCCTGCCTTGAACTTGCATTTCTTACATTTCTATTCCATCCTTTCACCAAGGCATTCAGGGCACTCCCTGCCCCCCTTCTAGTTTATCCTCTGAGTTAAACATGGCCGTGGAGTAGTCATTGGGCCAATATTACCCAGTGATCATCACAGCTTAGCAAGAATTTTGATATAGATCTCTCTGACTAAATTGCAACCCTTTATACACAATACACTGATCTCCTCTTGCAACATGTTAGGCTATAAAACCAGAAAGGACTCCCCCCCCCCACATCCCTCCCCAAATGCCTGACAGCCTGCTGCATTCTCTCTCTCTGAGACTAGCTGGGAAAATATTTAGTTGATAAATGGTGATAACAATTGGAATGTGGACAGAAAGCATTCCGCTTACATTTTAGGAATTTGTACTTTCCCCTCACAGGACAGACTAACTAATACCAGTCTTTAGGGTTGAATACACAAATTCTGCCACTTTCCAATAGACTGAGAGTCACAGCACAAGCACACTGCTCTGTGTGTATGAACAGCAGGAGGTATGGGTGAGCTGTGCTAATCCAGGCTTCTGGAGCGTAAGTATGACTGGCCCAAGCAGGAACTTCCAGGTAAAGATGCAGAAGATGATACTGAGCTGTAAGTCAAAGTGAAAACCAAGGCTAGCTAATAGACAGCAGAATCAATAATCTCTGCAGGATTGTTATCTGTAACAGGGCAACTGCATGCAACACTCCTCCAGCCTGCACAGACTACCAATCCTTCCTCCTCACTGGTACTGATGCAGAAAATGAGATCCAATGTAGTGGGTTAAAGTATCAGACTACCACGAGCAAGTCCAACTCTGCCACAAAATTCCCTGGATGATTTAGCCCTGTTACCACCTCTCTGCCTACCCTCTCACAGGGCTGCAGAGGGTAAAACAAAACCAGGGGAGGGAGGGAAGGAAGGGTATTTTTTTTGCAAGGATAACATGGACATGATGAGAAACCAAGCGAGCCCAAATAAATAAGGTTTCTCAGTACAACCAAAGCCCAGCTACACAAGCATTATGCGCTTGCTCCACCTGTTGCCCAGCCCCCATGCACACCGTTAAGAAATCCACTACTGTCCCCCTTCCAGTATAAGACCTCCACCTTTCAAAGTCCTTCTCCCTTATGAATCCACAAACCACTTGAAACATATGCCCCTGTATAGTAGTCTACTTGAAACATGTGTAGAGTATGTACAGTAGTTTACTTGAAACATATGCCCTTGTATAGTAGTCTACCCACCGCTAACAACCCCATCTGCACACTTCCCATGATCAAGAAGTACTTTTCTCCCTTCTCACAATACAAGAACTCGTAGCCACTCAATGAAATTGCTGAGTAGTCGGGTTAGAACAGATAAAAGGAAGTACTTCTTCACCCAAAGAGTGATTAACACATGGAATTCACTGCTACAGGTGGTGGTGGTGGCAGCTACAAGCATGGACAGCTTCAAGAGGGAATTGGATAAACTTATAGAACAGAGGTCCAAGGTATAGATAGGAACTCTCAGTCCGGGGCAAGTGATGATCTGTATTCTTGGTGCTTGGGGGGGGGCAACAGTGGGAGGGCTTCTAGTGTCTTGGCCCCACTGGTGGACCTCCTGATGGCACCTGGGTTTTTTGGCCACTGTGTGACAGAGTGTTGGACTGGATGGGCCACTGGCCTGATCCAACATTTGGCTTCTCTTATGTTCTTAGCCCCCATTAGAATTCCACAATCTTCCACGTGAGTAACCTTGTTGCCACCAGCTGTCCCAAATCAGCAGCTCATACCCCTTATTTTCAGTTTCCTCAAATCCCTCATAACACTTCCTCCTTCTCCAGACACTTTTGCCACATCTTATCTTTGCCTCCAACACCCCCTTCTGATCTTTAGCTTTTCTATCTCCCCACACCAGCTCCCACAAGGAAGCTTCACAGCCTCCATCCATGACATGAAAGCTTCCAAGCCACAGCTCTTGACAACTTCATTCTTCCCCATAACATACACAACTCCTACCAAAACTTAGACTCATCCCCCTTCCCCACAGTGACAGCCCTATTAAACCTTTTTAGCCACCACATCATGATTTTGACTCTCCACTCCCATGACACACACTTCAGCTTTCCCTATTTTCAGCTACCTGTCACTGATATCACAATAATCTGAGCAGTACAATGTTGAAATGTGGTAGCATGCACTAAAGCTTGCATTACTGGAGACTCCTGAGTATTAGTAGAAGCAGGTACATCGTAATGCATGCAACACATGCAAAAGCACTAAGGCTTTGGGATGCTTTGGATTTGTAATAACATAACATAAAATGCATCCGGTAGATTGGTTCTTTTCTATGCTGCAGACAACAGTGCAAACTTTGAATCACTAATAATATGTTATGGGTCAATGCCTATAATCTCCTTCCCCTTACACCACTACACATCACTGCCTACCAAAACATGATTTTTCTATTAGAGGTACAACCACATCAACTGGGAAATAAAACATCCCATTGACTCTCCTCCTACCCTTTTGTAATAAAAAAGTTACAACCCGCTTAACACAAGCCAAGCTGTCATAATAAGAGTAACACATAAGAGTAAACCTCCTCTTGCCCACCCCCTTCCCATACTGCAGCTCATGATACCCGTATTAGAAAGAAACATCAGGGCCTCTATGCACTATTTTGTGGTTTGGAGAGAGCATGATGGGCTAGAAGGGCCACTGGTCTGATCCAGCATGGTTCTTATGCTACTGGCCAACACTACAACGTTGCTGTAAGATGAGACAACACCTCCTGGGCACACAAAATCACTACAGCCATGCTAAAAATGGTGTTATTGAGACAGGGCCTTAAGAAACCACACTACACGAGAAAGTCGCCAGTCTACAAAACACATAGTCAAGCCCCCCCCCCCTTGGGCCTCAGCCCCACCCCGCAACAGGACAATGATGCTGGGCGCCGAGAACAGCTCGAAAGCGCTACTTAAGCGCGAGACCAGGCTACTCCTCAGAGGCGAGGGGCCTCAGGTAGCTTAGCTACCCTCGGTGACAGAAACACCAAAGCGAACGCAACTGCAAGGCAATTTCCTTGAGCCATGCACCCGACTGGCTCCCATAAGAACCGCCAGGCAACACCAGCCTCCCCACCCGAATGACAACCACCCTATCGCCATTCTCACCGGGAGCCCCTGCGCCCACTTCAGCCACCGCCACTTCGCCTGTTTCCCCAACCGGAAGTCCTGAAGCTCCGCTTACACCTCATTTCCGCCCGGGTCGTACCAAGAGTTTCCCCGAGCTGTTTTATTTGTTTCACTTCCTCCCTCTTGCTCAAACAGAAACGTGGTCAGTCCCCGCTGTCCTTTCTCCCCATATTGACCTGCGCTGTCAAAAAAGATTTAAAAAACGTTTCCAGGGGTTTTGCTCCTTTCCCCCCTCTTATTCTTGACCTCCCTCGCTCCCATTCTTTTTATGGTGCAGTCCAAACAGCTTCTCTGGGTATTGTCCGCGAACACAGAACGGGCGAAGAGGGTCCCGTGGCTCCCGCTGATTGGCCAAAAATGAGACACCTTCTCCAATTGGAAAAATCGGCCAATGGGAGCGGAACAGCCGTTGCTAAGTGAGGGGGGAGGAGAAAGGTAAAAAGAACGAGAGTCTGTCGGAATCGTTGTTCAAATATCGCCACGATCATGTGGTCACTGGACACGTCACTTTTTTGCTCTGCTTTCCTTTTTGAGTAGGACAACTTATGTAGCTGTAGAGCAGCAAATAATTTTTAAGGGAGATTATTTTTACCACAAAAACTATTATGTGAACTAACCTAAGGATTCTAGTCCTCAGGAAGTTTTATTTACCCTTAAAAATGTGATACTGAAGGAGTCAGAATCCAGAAGGGCCGCTGTATTAGGTTTTAGGCTGCAATCCTTAGAACACTTTCATGGGAGAAAACCCTATTGAATAAAATTGATTTTATTCCTGATTGGGCCAGTCACCCTCAGCCTAACCTACTTCAGAGGTATAGATGATCAGCCGTGTTGGTCTGAAGCAGAAGAACAAAGGTCCAGTGGCACCTTTAAGACCAACAAAGGTTTATTCAAGGTATGAATTTTCGTGTACAAGGCACAATTTTTCAAATACATTGAAATGATAGATGAGGTTCTAAACTTATAGACAGGGATTTAACAGCAAATTAACATGTAACATGATGATGTTTAAGTTATGCAAAGTGAAAAAGTAAATAAGGTTATTAGGTCAACAGTTGTTATTACACCACTTGGAACAACCCCCCCCCCCCCCCCAGCACAACAGGGATATTTGATGACTCAACAGGGATATTGGATTTTTATCCCATTACATATGCTAACTCATTCAGTTCTCATGTATGTATTCTCAACAAGAAGGACTATGAATCCTCTGTATTTTAGTGTATTTCTTTTTCAGAATAGTATATTAGAATACTGAATGCAAGGAATATTGGGATGCCTGGTGGCAATTTTACATCCAGTTTAGAATATGCTGTTAAGTGCCCTCCATGCCTGAGAGGAGATAATTAAGATTCTGTTACTTCACACAATTAGAAAAAATAATTTATCTGCTATTTTGACATATTTATTGCTTTACGTTGACCTTATAACTGTAACTTGTTGTTTAGTTTTTCACTTTGCATAACTTAAACATCATCATGTTACATGTTAATTTGCTGTTAAATCCCTGTCTATAAGTTTAGAACCTCATCTACCATTCCAGTGTATTTGAAAAAGTGTGCCTTTGCAAACGAAAGCTCATACCTTGAATAAATCTTTGTTGGTTTTAAAGGTGCCACTGGACTCTAAATGTGTTCTACTACCTCAGAGGGTTGTTGTGTGAACAACGGGAGGAAAATTATGTACGTCAGCTTGCATTGCCACTGGGGGGAAAGGTAGGGTATAAATGAAGTAACACATAGGGAGCAGTGAGATTTGTTTTCAGCTGTCATCAGATTTCTGCTTGTTTTCATATGTCTGCAATACAAACCCTATTGTATTTATTGGGTGTCCCATCGTGTTGATTGTATTTTACTTACACCCCAGGGTGCGTGTGTGTGTGTATGTATATATACACACGCACGCGCGTGCGCCATGGGGTGTAAGTAAAATACAATCAACACGATGGGACACCCAATAAATACAATAGGGTTTGGATTGCAGACATATGAAAACAAGCAGAGATGCCAGAAAAAAAGAGATGCCGGAACTCTTAGCTCTGTCACCAATCTGGTGGAATGCCCTTCCAGATGAGACCTGGGCCCTGCAGAATTTGATTCAGTTCACCAGGGCCTGTCAAACAGAAGTGTTCTGCCAGGCATACGGTTGAGGTGGCAAAGTTTCCATCTAACTTGGCCTCCCTCAGCCCCCCTCCCACCACTCACAAACACAGGTAGTTCAACCTCACTCAGATAAAAACTGCTTATCAGTGCCTAAATCGCATCTGATTTTATCTTTATTATTGTATCAGTGTGTTTTAATAATGTATTGTATGGCTGTTCGAGTACCACCGTGGTCGAGGTGAGCTCTCGACCTTCGTCCCAGCTCCCGCCTACCCAGCGGTTTCGAAAGCAACCTAATTGCAAGTAGATAAATGGGTACCCACCCTTAGAGGGGTGGGGGGCACCCTGTATGGCTGGTTGGAAGACGGCGGCGGCGATGACGGCGGCGGTGAACACCGACTTGGTGCGGACGGCGCGGTGGCGTTGCGGCGGCGGACGGGCGCGATCGGAGGAGCGCGATCGAGCAATCCCTGGTGGCCGAGAGTGAATACACCGAAGCTGTCGTTAAAAGAAGAAGGAGTGTGCGCGGACGCCGAGCACCAGCCCAGCGGAGCTGGAAGGGACGTTGCCGGGCCGGAAGCAGGCAGAGCCGCGCGCCTCAGGAGGAAAGAGCCACCACCGGACGCCAGAAAAAGAACACCCGCCAGTCCAGAGACCCGACCGGAGCCGAGCCAAGCCGATGAAAGAAACAACTACGACAACAACCACCACCATAGGGGGGTGCCGGTAGGCTGTCCCATCCCCGTATACATTGTGGCCCTAGTTAGGGGAAAATGGTGATTAGCACCACCAAACCTATAAGCCGCTCAGAGACCCCTAGCCAAGGGATTCGAGCGGGATAGTAAGTTGAATGTTAAATAAATAAATAAATAAATTTTAACTTCTTGTTGCCTGCCATGAGCCTTGCAATGCTGGGGGGGAGGGCTAAAAGTCCAATAAAAATAAATAAATTAATTAAACCTATTGATAAATTCTAGTTCAGCAATTATTTATCCTATGATAAATCCCTTGTTCATTAAGGTGCCACAGACCTTTTCGTTGAAGGGGAAGAAGAGCAATTGTCATATCCATTAAAATGTATTTTGGCATTGAGAAATAATCCTTTGCAATGAATAAATAAATATATTTCTTACAGGTCCAAGTACTTAAAAAAAAAAAGTACATTGCAATTTCAAAATGCTGTACTTTTCCCCCTTGCACTTCGATTAAAAGGCAAAACAGAGGCAAGATGTTTTTGTCCCATTCAGGGTAAGATGGGAAAACTGGGGGGCAATACATATTTTTTCAACAATAACATTCCCTTTCCCATGTCTGCTCAGAACTCAACCTTATGCACACGGAGCTGGACATACGTCTCATCGCATATTCTACACTTATCCCTTACTACACGCAATCCCTATAGTATTTTATGATCCTAGTACATTGTACCTGGGGTTTCTTGGTAGTGACACCAAAACTCTGGAATTCTATCCCCAGGAAAACTTGTCTCTCCCTTCTGTTGCCATCTTCCACCAGCAGGTGAAGACTTTTTTATTTCATTTGATGTTCCTCCCTGCTCAGTGTTTTAATTGTTGTCTTTTATGTTTTTGTATGTATGCTAGTTCTTTTTTTAAAAGTTATTTTATTATGTATGTTTTAATTCATTAGCCACCTTGGCCCTTATCAAGACAAAAGTGGGGAATATATTTTCTAAAATAAAAATAAATAAAACACTTTCCTGGGAGTAAGCCCCATTGAATAAATTGGACCTTACTTCTCAGTTGAAGTTTCAGCCTCTTGGGTCTCTAAACTGTTAGATGCCTAAGTGGAGCATGGACGAGACTTTAGTGCACATGCCTAGCACAGCTTAATGGAACCTAAATATTCGTATTATCTGCACATAAATAATAGTTACTGGCCACTGGGGCAAAGGGTGCTGGAAACAGATGAGAACATAAGTAGAGCCTACTGGATTAGACCAGTGGTCCATTTAGGTTGAACTTGGTGGGACTAAAAAGGGTTCTTCTTAAATTCTTTTGCAGACCAACACACAAAACAGTGCTCCAGACTGAGGTGTGTGTGCCATTTAGGACAGATTAAAAAGCAGTTTCATCACTATTCATGCCCTCCAAATGGGGCCATAGCAGTCTGATTAGGGAAGAGCATTGACAAAAAGATCAGTGTCCAAAACGCTGGGTTATAGTCTGCCTCTCCACTCAATTATGAATGCAACCTTCTTCCATTCCAAGGAGTCTTCTTTTACCTTCAGAAGCCTTCTACTTGTCTAGCAGAGGATAAATCCCACTGACTTTGAACTTTGTGACAAATTACTTTGAGACATACAAATCTTTAGGACAAATGCAAGAGAGTATGAATCTGACAATATGTGTATGAATTGTGTACAAAGAATGTACAAATCTGACAGCCGCTCTGAGCCTGCTTGGGTGGGGTATAAATGGAATAAATAAATAAATGCAAAATGCTACCACATTGCTTTCCCCTTGTCCCTCCACCATAAACACTGCAAAATATATTTAAGTTTTAACTGTTTATGAAGAGGTACAAACAAATCCCTTACATGACATACCAAATGTCTTTAAAATTTGTAAAAAGGAAAATGGTTTTTATCAGGGCAGTTTACTGATAGGGTTACCATTTTTTTAAACAGAGCCTTTCACCTGTCCCTTTAATATCCGTTTGAGCTGCAGTAAACAGCTGTAGTGTATCTATCTCCACACCACAAAAAACTTCACCTGCCCATTCCACCACCACCCCACCACACAAGCATTTATTAAAGGGACAGGACACTTTTGCCCTGTTTTTAAAAAACCCTCTGTTTACTAACATAAGCCAGTATAGAAGTGTATGAATACAGCACATAACAAACATAGTATCTTGCCAGGACTGGGAGCAGGGAATAAGGTTCAAAATTCCACAGGACCAGTTTACCCCAGAAAATTGAG